GGCATGAGCTTTTAATTTTAAATGTATCATTTATATTGGAATAAATAATACATGCAACTAAGTATTTTAAAAATATAAAGAGGAAAAGAATAGAAGATTGGCCTGGCAGTGGTGGTGCACACCTTTAATTCCAGCACTGAGGAGGCAGAAGCAGGCAAATCTCTGAGTTCGAGGTCAGCCTGGTCTACAAACTGAGTTCCGGGACAACCAGGTCTGTTACGAAAAGAAACTCTGTTTCCAAGAAAAAAAATGTAGAAGCTTGGTCCCTTCCCGTCCCTGTCCTGTAAGTACCTCCCCATCAGTATCTCCTAGGGCCACTAATACAAATTTCCTGCATAGCTTTCCAGAAATTTTCATTAACATTCTTTTTAAAATATACTATGTTAAAGGCTGGAAACCCCCAAACTGTCCATTGTAGCTCAAATTCTAATTGGTCATAATAATGAAAACCAGGTGTAACTAGAAGTTTCTCTCCCACCCTCCAGTTCCCCAATAACCACTCAGAGGTTTATATAAATTAGAAATATTTGGCTGATGGGTCAGGCTTTTACTAACTAGCTCTTACAACTTAAATGAACCCATTTCTATTACTCTGTGTGTCACCGAGAGGCCTGTGGCTTTATTACCTCACATCTCGCTTCTCTGGAGGCTGCTGCCCAGACTTCACCTTCTTCCTCCCTGTATTTCTGCTTGGATTTCCCACCTAGCTATTTTCTGCCATGCCATAGGCCAAAACTGTTTTATTCCTGAGCCAATAAAGCTAACACATATTCGCATCATACAGAAGGTCATTCCACATCAACCCAGAGTCAGATATCGGGATAAATGCTGAAAGATCAGGGGAGCAGAGTGGTCAGCCACTACTTCTTGCCTCTCCCGAATCCTCAGACCTGAACGGGTGAGAGCTTCTGTCTCTAGGGATCCTCAGACTGAATGCCCGAGATCCTGTCTCTACCTCCCTCGTGCTGGGTAAAGGTGTGAGCCACCACCACGGCCTGGCTCTGGTTCTCTTTTAAGACAGATTCAATCTCAAGTAGCCCAGGGGACCTTGAACTCCTGATCTTCCTGCTTCCTCCTCCTAAATGCTGAGATTAAAAATTTATGCCACCCCCCCCAAAAAAAAAACTGGGTCTGTGGTGGCACACAGGCCTTTAATCCCAGTACTCATGAGTCAGAAGTAGGAAGATCTCTGTGAGTTCAAGGCCAGTCTGGTCTACAGAGCCAGTTCCAAGCCAGCCAGAGTTACACAGAAAGACCCTATCTCAAAAAAAAAAAAAAAAAAAAAAAAAAAAAAAAAAAAAGGGGTGTGCCACCACTGCCTGGCCCCTATAGTTAACTAGTGGCTAGCTCTGCCCTCTGATCTTCAGGCAAGTTTTGTTTGTTAGACCACAAACAAAATATCACCACATCTTTTAGTATTTCAGACTGTGTCAGTTTGTCAAATGAACCAAAGAAATCTAACAATCTATTTCATGAAATCTCTGTGATTATTGAAAAAAACGATTTCCACACGGGAAAAAGTCCACATTAAGTCACTGAGTTAAAAAATCAGCCAGGCAGCTGGGTGGTAGTGGCACACACCTTTGATCCCAGCACTCGGGAAGCAGAGGCAGGCATATCTCTGTTGAGTTCGAAACCAGCCTGGTCTACAAAGTGAGTTCCAGTTCTACACAGAGAAACCCTGTCTCCAAAACAAAACAAAACAAAAAACAGAAAATCAACTTTGGAATGAAATTCCTCTTCAAGAGCACTGGATAGGAGTGTGGTCACAAGGTGGGCCTGGTGGTGCAAGCCTGTTATCTCAGCTGTTTGGGCAGCTAGGCAGGAGGGTCTCAAGTTCAAGGTCGATTTGGGCTGCAGAGTGGGTTCTGGGCTAGCCTGGGCAACTTAAAGAGATGCTGCTTCAAAAGTAAAATGTAGTAAAAGGAGATTTGGAGTTATAACTCTGTGGAAGAGTACTTGTCCATGGGTTCTACCCCCGTACCAGAAAAACAAAGACACAAACAAAATGCCTTGCTAAGCATGTGGCTGAGTGGTTTGATAATAAAAACAGCTGTCTGTACACTCCTATTGAACCCTAAGTATAGGGAGTGTTCTGACAGTATATTTACTTCTCTGGCCTGTGCCAGACAGGATGAAATCGTTCTAGCTATAATAAGACATGTGGGCTCAGAAAAGCAATATGATTCAGAAGCAGGAATCACAACCCCCAGAGCCAAAAGCCCCTCTCAGGGAGTCTCCTGGCTTCATCTTTCACCGAGGGTGACAGGGAGGGGCTAAGCCAAGCTTGCAGATCTGAACTCTGGACAGTGGCTCATGCCCGACATTCTCCACTGGCCAAGCCCACATTGTCTACATTCCCCTTGGTTTAGGTTCTCTTCTTGCCTCCTGGACACAGATACTTGAGGTCACATAGTTTCTCCTTCAGCTGCTGGAGGATCCCAAGGAGAGGGTAGAGGGGACAATAACTGGAGACCTTATCGAAAACCCAAGGGTCCCTTCCTATATTCTCCCTTGGCTGCTGGGGTCCGTCTCTATGGGGCAGAATGCAGTTCTTTGAGGTTTTGTGTGTGTGTGTGTGTGTGTGTGTGTGTGTGTGTGTGTGTACAAGCACCTGAAGCATGTGTAGGAAGGTCAAAGGACACCTTGGGTGAGTCAGTTTTCTCTTTCTACCATGGTAGGTACTGACCTCAGTCTGCCAATCAGGTTTGGTAGGAAGTGCCATTCCTCAAAGGACCATCTTTCTGGCTTCATAATGGGATCTTGCCTGTGTTGCTGGCATAGTGGTGAGCAAAGCTGCCTTCCAAATAATATCTTACATTAGATGGACTTGGTGAACTTAACCCTGCTTTAGCCCCAAGGGCATCTGTTTAAGGGACAAACAGGGCTATTTGCTGTCACACTGTTAATACGTTATTTACTTGTGTAAATAACGGGAGCTAAGAGAGATGACATGTCCCCAATGTCCCCTCAAACAGATATCTAATCACCCCAACTGAAATCGGGTCTGAAACCTCAGAAACATTGTCCAGTATTTAACATTCATATTTTTTAAAAGGGGAAGAGGTAGGGAGCCATGACATGCATACACACACACTAATAATAAATGAAAAAAATCCCAACGAAACAAAATTCTACTGAGAGCTGTCCTGAACCCAATAAGCTAGAACATGTCTAGTTCCCAATAAGGAACCAATGGTGACACTCTTTATCAACTATGTATATGGACAAGCTCGTTAAAATTTTATCCATTTATTTATTTATTCATTCGTGTGTGTGTGTGTGTGTGTGTGTGTGTGTGTGTATGTGTGTGTGTGTGTATGCGCGCGCTAATGTTAAATGCCCCTTTTTAATTTCTCTCTACCTTCTTTTTTTTTTTTTTGGTTTTTTTCCAAGACAGGGTTTCTCTGAATTGTTTTGGAACTCACTGTGTAGACCAGGCTGGCCTCGAACTCACAGAGATCCTCCTGCCTCTGCTTCCAGAGTGCTGGGATTTAAGGCATGCGCCACCAATGCCCGGCTTCTACCTTCTTCTTTTTTTTTTTTTTTTTTTTTTTTTTTTTTTTTGCTGTTTCAAGACAGGGTTTCTCTGTGGCTTTGGAGGCTGTCCTGGAACTAGCTCTTGTAGACCAGGCTGGCCTCGAACTCACAGAGATCTGCCTGCCTCTGCCTCCAGAGTGCTGGGATTAAAGGTGGGCGCCACCAACGCCCGGCCCGGCTTCTACCTTCTTTTTTGAGACAGGGTCTCTCACTGAACCTGAAGTCAACAATTTGACTAGATCTGTTAACCAGCCAGCTGCAAGCTCTCCCTCTCTCTGCCTCTCCAGATATGAGTTGGTAGGTGTGCAATTCTGTGCCTGAATTTTTATATGTGGTCCACACTTAGGTCCTCTTGTTTATGTGGAGAGCTTTTCTTCTTACCAGCTAAGTCATTGCCTCAAACCCACTTTTCCCCTTTAACCCAGTTCTTTCATCTCCCACTAATGGCCGTGTTTAACTCCTAGCTCTAACTCTTGTGGTTCAGGCCTCTCCTCCTCTGGCCTTCAGACCAGGCCAGACTGATGAGCCTTTTAGGTTGACAACATCAGGAATGACTACCACACAGCCCATTCCTCCTTTCTTCATTCCTTTGTCTCTTCAGAATATTATACATTCTAGAAAAGTGCTCTGCCACAGAGTTACACCTTATAGCATGTATATTACTTACACACACACACACACAGAGTCTCATTGGGGCTGGAGAGACGGCTCAGTGGTAAGAGCACTTGCTGCTCTTGCAAAGGGCCTGGGTTCAGTTTCTAGCACCCACGTGGTGGCTCCCCACCATCCATAATTTCAGTTACAGGGGATCCAATGCCCTCTTCTGACCTCTGCAGACACTAAGCAAGCAGGCGACACTCTACAGTCACACACACAGGCAAAACACTCACACATAAAATAAAATCAATAAATTTCATTATGTGTCCCAGGCCAACCTCAAAAACAGAAATCCTCCTGCGGCAGCATCCTGAATGATGTGATTTCAGATGTCATTTTACCATGGCTGCCTCCTTAGAGAATCATGAACTATTTTTGTTTTGTTTAGTTTCTGTAGGCAGATTAGATGTGGGATTTATTACTGAAAAGGGTGAAGCACACTGGAAGCTCCCAGGAGTGCAGGGCGGCCACCTGCCCCGGGCAGCGGGGTTAGCCAGAGAGTTCCCCCATAGTTAGTTATCAGTGACGACTGCTCCTCGACTCCCAAGTTCTCAATCGGTCTACATTAGTCATGGTGAAAACCACTTCTCTGAGATACGCATCTTCTAACAGCCAAGAAACTTGAACTTGACCCCACAGAATGTCTCAAACATATGTTCCTTGTTCCACAGGTTGGTACAGATGGACATGATGACCTGGTCTGGTCACTGTGCCCTGGAGCTTCCCAAGGACACACTGAACACCTGTCTGGAATCTAAATTGGGGACAGCACTGTGATCAGAGGTGTGAATATCTACCAGAAAAACTGTCTCCAAAGTCCCTTAGGACGGCTCAGATAGGCAACAGACTGCCCACACTGCCGAGGAGGAGGCTGTTTGCAGCCATTGCATACCAGGCCCCCCTGAAGAAAGGAACCTGGTGGCCTAATTGGCTGCAGACATGGGCTGCACCTTTCACGTCTCCTTCATCTTCCGTGTGTGGAAGCTGCGTGCCCAGGGCATCTTTGCCTGTGTGTGTACATAAGTATAGCTACATAAAGCGAAAGCTGTTCCCATCTGACGAACATAAATATAAGGGTGAAGTAATACTGTCCCTTCTGGTTGCCAAGCAGTTCTGGTATTTATATTGGTTTTTAGCTCACGATGCTTATAGAGATTTAATTATCCTAAGAATCTAATGTTCATGTTAATTTGGGAGAGGATGGAGATTTGGTGTCTTGGGCAGAGCCAAACATTTGAGAGCTGGTTGATTTACAGCTCCAGAAAAACTGTGAAACTTGGGAGCCAACTGTTTCACCCTTGCAGAGCAGAGAAAGGATTTGTGCATTTCCAAAGGCTTTGCACACACCTGACATATTCAGATAGGTGAAAACGAAATGATTAGGAAAACACAAAGCCAGACCCAGTGATGGTGGCGCAAGCCTTTAATCCCAGAATTTGGGAGGCAAAGGCAGGTGGATCTCTGTGAGTTCAAGGCCAGCCTGATCTGCAGAGCTAGTTCCAAGACAGCTAGGGCTACACAGAGAAACCTTGTTTCCCCCCAAAAAACAAAACAAAACAAAAAAACAACCAAACAAACAAAAACATACAAGCCTTGGAACTAATAGGCAAGCAATCCTACCTTAGTTTTTCTTTTTGAAACAGTCTTGTGTAGCCCAGCCAGGCCTTCGATTTAGTACATTGCTGAAAGAGACTTTGACTCCACTCAGCCACTGGACCACCACACCGGAATCTATTCTATTTTCAGATGAAACAGGCTGGGCATAGTGTGATGGTGCACGCCTTCAATCCCAGCATTCATAGAGTCAGGTGCAGGGGATCTCTGTGAATTCAGGACCGGTCCAATCTATGTAACAACTTCCTTGCCAGTCAGGGCTAAACTGTGAGGGTCTTCAAGGAAAAAAGAACAAAATAAAAAAACAGAGTTGGTAAACCAACTCATCAGTTAAGCAGTAAAAACACCTGCGGTGGCCTGGAAGGATGGCTCAGCGGTTAACAGCGCTGCTCTTGCAGGGGGACAGGGGTTCAATTTCCAGCACCCACATGGCAGCTCACAACTGTTTGTAACTCCAGTTCCTAAGGATCTGACACATTCCCACCATTGCACATAAAATAAGGTTTAAAAAACAAAACAAAAACAAAAACCAAAAGACCACAGCTTTTGCAAAGGACCTGGGTTTGGGTCCCAGAATTCGAATACAAGGCAGCTCACAACTGTCTGTAACTCCAATTCCAGGGGATCTGATGTATTCTACACTCTGAAGGCTTCAGGAATACATATGCAGGCAAAACACTCATACACATAAAATAAAAGTAAATGTAAGCTGGGCTGTGGTGGCGCTCGCCTTTGATCCCAGCACTTGGGAGGCAAAGGCAGGCAGATCTCTGTGAGTTTGAGACCAGCCTGGTTTACAGCCTCCAAAGTCACAGAGAAACCCTGCTCGGGAAAAAAAAAAAAGTACATGTAAAATATCTTCAAAACAAAGCAAATAGCCAGGAGTTGGTGGCATACACCTCTAGTCCCAGCACTGGGAAGGCAGAGGCAGGCAGATCTCCATGAGTTCAAGCCAGATCGAATTCTGGTCTGCAGAGCAAGTTCCAGGACAGCCAGGACTATACAGAGAAATCCTGTCTTGAATAGGAAAAAACAAAACAAACACCTACTCCACACATAGAATCTGCTATGAGTTCATTGTCTCCTTATTTGTAGTATAGCCATAAGAAGGGTACAGGCAAACATAATGGTCTTGACAGTCTGTCAACTCAAGCCTTTAGCTCTATGTTATATAAAGCACAGCCAATAGACCATGTCTGTTACCTCCAAAGTGATTGGTTTTCCTTATGTCAAATCATTGTCTCTGTGGTCAACCTGCTCAGGCAGACCCTGGTCCCCTTGAAAGCCTGCTTCAAGTTGCTCATTTACCAACCGATCCTGACTGATAATTTTCTCCATGCCATGACCTAGTTGTAATAATAGCGATGCTATTTTAAATTGAGGCCCCTCCCTTTTTTGGAGACAAAAGTCTGTTTATTCCAAGCTGGCCTTGCACTGGTTATAGCCAAGGGTGGCCTTGAACTTCTGATCTTCCTGCCTCCACCTCTTGAGTACTGGGATTACAGGCATGTGCCACCATGGCTAATTTTGTGTGGTGCTGGGAATCTAAACCAGGATTTCCTTCTTGCTAGGCAAGCACCCTACCAACTGAGCTACAGTAAGTGGGTGCTAACCTCCCCCCACCCATCTCCAGACAAGGTTTCTCTGTGTAACAGCCCTAGCTGTCCTGGAACTAGCTCTATAGATCAGACTGGCTTTGAATTCACAGAAATCCACCTGACTCTGCATCCTGAGTGCTGGAATTAAAGCCGTGTGCCACCACTGCCTGGCTTCACTAACATTTTTTAAAAGAGTTTATGCCGGGCAGTGGTAGCCCATGCCTTTAATCCCAACACTTGGAAGGCAGAGGCAGGCAGATCTCTGTGAATTCAAGGGCAGTCTGGTCTACAGAGCAAATGCCTGGATAAGCTCCAAAGCTACACAGAAAAACCCCCGATTCGAAAAACTAATAATTAATTAAAAAAGAGTTTATATTGGGCCAAGGTCAAACTGTAAACAAAATACAATACGTACTATTTTGTTTTGACATAAAACCTTCCGACATTGAAGATCCTTGCCAGATAAAAGGGCACTCGCCAGTCCTGGGGGTTCAGGCCTGTGATCCCAAAGCTTGGAAGGCAAAGCAGGAGGATGAGGAATTCAAAGTCAACATGGACCACAGTGAGTTCTAGGTCATGCTGGATACATGAGACCCTGCCAAACAGCAACACGTTCACCCAGGGGAACTACAAATTTGAGAGAGAGAGAGAGAAACTTTTCTCAAAAGAAAAAGAGGAAGAGGAGGAGAAGGAAGGAAGGAAGAAAGAAAGAAAGAAAGAAAGAAAGAAAGAAAAAAAAAGGACATCACATCTAGCTAGATCTTGCCACTGTGTTGTCTAGAACCTATGACAATTGAGAAGTAAAAAGAACCTAGGTCCTGCTCTAGGACCTAAAGACAAAGGGGTCAAAGCTGTGTTTCACTCCCTCAAGAAGGCAGGGAAAAATGCAGCTATGGAGCTTATTAAATAAGTGGGAAAATATTAGTTATGTTCCCTTGGAACCACAAAGTATTGAGACTTGTGGTGAACAAAGATTCCGAGGTGAGGAGGGTGAGAGCCGAGGGCTGTTCATTCCTGTTTCTGTTTTGGTTCCAGGGAAGCCGGGTTTCCATTGCATGGGATGCAACTGGATATTTCCTCCGTCCTCCGTGGCTGGGCCCTGGCAAACGCGGTTTCCTGGCACTCGGAGAGCGGCAAGTCCCAGCAGCGAGGTCAAATCCATTTTTGGAGCCAAACAGCAGCATTCCTTTACAGTTAGTTAGCTTTACAACCGCCAAGACGGCTCCTGCCGGTCTAGTCTAGAGTGACACCTAACGGCAGCACAGGGAACTGTTCCAATCGCCCGTCCTGTCGGAACCACCCTTTCTAGAACGCTGGATTCCCTGTTCCCACAGAAGTGTCTTGATTGTATCACTCACTAATTACTCTCTAATTAATGGTGACATGTATGCTCCACAACATGAGTGTCTCAGTTAGGGCTATTATTGCTGGGACCAAACACCATGACTAAAAAAGCAGCTTGGGGAGGAAAGGGTGTATTTGGCTCACACTTCCGCATCCATGTTCATTATTGAAAATGTCAGGAACTCAAGCAGGGCAGGAACCTGGAGGCAGGAGCTGATGCAAGGGCCATGGGTTATGGGCTTGCTCCCCATGGCTTACTCAGCCTGCTTTCTTATAGAACTGAGGGGTGACCACTCTAGGGGTGACATCATCCACTATGGGCTGAACTAATTAAGAAATTAGTTAAGAAAATGCCCTATAAGCCTGTCTGTCAGGGGTCAATTTTTTTTCAAGACAGGGTTTCTCTGTAGCTTTGGAAGCTGTCCTGAAACTTGCTCTGTAGACCAGGCTAGCCTCAAATTCACAGAGATCTTCCTGCCTCTGCCTCCTGGGTGCTAGAATTAAGGGCGTGCGCCACCACTGCCTTGGCTCTAGACTCAATCTTATGGACGCATTTTCTTAATTGAACTTCCCTTCTCTCTATCTTGTGTCAAGTTGACATAAGACTAGCCACTATCGTGAATATCTTGAAATTGTTCCTTCATGCCGGGCGTTGGTGGCGCACCTTTAATCCCGGCACTCAGGAGGCAGAGGCAGGCAGATCTCTGTGAGTTCGAGGCCAGCCTGGTCTCCATAGTGAGTGCCAGGATAGGCTCCAAAGCTACACAGAGAAACCCTGTCTCGAAAACAACAACAACAAAAAAGCCATCAAAGGCGGTTTGTGCACCATGTGTGTGCAATGCTTATGGAGCCCAGAAGAGGCCTCAGAACCCCTTGAACTGGAGTTACAGACCGTCGTCAGCTGCCATGTGCGTGCTGGGAATCAAACCCAGCCCCTTTGGAAGAGCAGCCAGTGCCATCTGTTGAGTCACCTCTCCAGCCCAGGAATGTGGTCTTTCTGTCAAGCGTGAGATGAGAAGCTTCTAGCTCCAGGTCTGGGCAGCGATGCTCTTGAGTTCCACATGAGTTACTTGTCTGCCAGGAGCAAGTTGCTCAGATAAGGGTCAGCAGTGGAATGTGCCCTCTCAGAGGGACCTGAGAAATAATAAGAAATAATGGAGGCAGGCATGGTGATACACACCTAAAATCACAGCACTTGGGAGACAGAGGCAGGGGGATCTCAGTGAGTTCCTGGTCTATAAAGTGATTTCCAGGACAGCCAGGACTGTTATAGGAGAAACCCTGAAGACAGACAGACAGACAGACACACACACACACACACACACACACACACACAAAATTCCTTGATGTCATTTGTCCCTCATTAGGAGCCAAGTTAAAT